ATTGTGTTTTCCAGAAGAAAAAACTTTTATATATATATAGAAAGATTACAACAAAGTGTAACACACCCCACCCATCCCTTCTTTGTGTCATATGACTGCACATGTGTTAATGGGTCACTCTACCTTTAGAATATATTCTAACTATACTTTTCATTGTGTCGTGATGATAGGAGTACTTTTCCCAGACCTGAAAAAGAGCTCTATGAGGCTCCAAAGCTTGTCTCCCTCTCTCTCTCTCTCTTACCAACAGATGTTGGTCTAATTAGAAGAGATGGTAATTTTGCCCACTGTCTCTCTCTGACCACCTTGTGTTGTCACATAAGTCACATTAAAAACCCCTGTGAGAAGCAGTGCCTATCTTCCCATAGGTACTTCTCCTGAAGCCCTCAAAGATATGTTGGCTATGTCGATACTGGCAATTGAACGAGGTGTTAAAGTGACTTCTCCCAAAAGCAGTGGTGACTACTGGGAAGGGACACAAGGGGGGGGGGCACTGGCCATGTAACTTCCCCCCAGGTGACTCCTCCTTGTGACACCCCTAGCCTGGGGAAGGGTCCGCCTCTTCCTGCCCTTGCCAGGCCCTCACTCCACCCTTTTCCCCAAACACTTTCTCTGCCCCCTCCCCACTTCTGCTTCATGCCCACTCCACCTCTTCTTCCCAATGTGATGTGGCTTGGGAGATTAGCAGGGGCCAAGCACTGGCCACAGGGGTCAGACTCCTTCTGCACTCACCAGCAGCAGTGGGAAGCAGCCTCAGACAGCACCTCTACCTTCCGCGCCACCAGTGTGTGTGGGGTTCCTTCCCTCAAACAACATGGCTGAGAGCTGGGGAAGCAGGGAGGTCTAGAGCCTGATCGCTCTGCTTCCTGCTGCTGCTGGTGAGCACAGGGAAAGGCTGACACATACTGCCGGTGTCAGGCCCTCCCAAGCACAGGATGTAGGGTAGTTGCCCTCATTTGGGATGGCTCTGCCAGATGCTGTTCTCTTATCCCCTTTGGTATTGGAGGGCACGTGACCTTTCGTATCCCCACCCCATGAATTACCCTTCCCAAAAGACAAAGATTTGCCAACAATAAGCTCTGTAGTGAACAGTACTTTGTTGGCAGGGGAGCACTCATCAGAGATGGAACTTTTTTGTGGTCAAAAGAGATGACAAGCAGCAGCTACTCTACGCGACTTTTAGTGACATGGCTGTTGAGACACAGTTGTGTTGCTAAAAACTGCATAGTGTACACAGTACCTTTGTCTGCATGTTATAAACCGTTGTGTACATTAACAGTACCCAATAAATACAGTTATCAACAATTAAAAGTCTATACTATTTAATATGACCTTGTAAATTGCCAGTATTGCTGCTGGTGCTTCCACTACCTAGGAACCATTGTTTAGAGGGTTTAGGTTTATACACTGGATTAGCAAAAGTATTGGTTAAAAACATGAGATTGTCAGGTCAAGTACTGATGTTAGCACTGGAATGCAATATTTGATGATGCAAGCTGAGTTTGAGAAAGTAGCTGTGTAGTGAATATATTGCTCTCTGATAGGGCATGTCAGCCAGGTCACTTGTTTGATATGCTAAAGTAAATATTGCTCTTTTTTTTAAAGAACATTTTACCAGACAAGGAGAACATGTTCTGTAGTTTAAAAAAAAAAGGCAGAATAAGAGCGGCGTGCACAAATATAGAAACACCTCTCCTGATGTAAATGTAAGACCAGATTTGAAGCTAAGGTTAGTTTGGCAAGTCAAACAAAGGAGAGGGTGGCTAAGAGATCATTGATGGTGCAGCTCTATTACAAAGTAGTGCAGCTCCATTAGAAGTTTCATTTGTGAGGTCCTTACAGTTTTTTTTATTGTTGAAGTATTTTCTAAATCTTTCTCTACAGGAAGTGTCACCATCTGGGTGTAAGAAGCAGCAGCATAATTCAACAAATCTCACTACAGGCTGAAACTCCATAATCCAGACTTCCTTAGCTCAGCAACATCCCAGGTCCAGCATTGTTGGGATGACCTCATGGGAGCACTCACAGGGTAAGCTGGCGGGCTGGGGTCAGGACTGTTGCCAGACGAGGGGAGGCCGACAGAGCAGAGCTCTGTGTGGCAGCAAAGCTGTTGGGCAGAGTGACGAGTTCGCAGTCACCAGGAGTAGGGCAACAGCCAGCAGAGCACCTGGGGGGACTGTGGAGCCGTCAGGCAGAGCACGGAGTCCTGGGTGGCAACAGGACCCCTTGGGCAGTAATGGAGACTCAGATGACAGCCAGGCCCCTCTCAGGGGAGAGCCCCGGGCAGCAGCAGAGCAGTTGGGAGCACAGAGCCCTGGGCAGCAGTGGAGCCGCAGGGGGAAAAGCAGAGCTCCTTGCCACTGAGGGGAGAGCAGGAGGCTGAGAAGAAGAGTGGAGTTCCCAGAGCATTGACCTCCAGATCTGGCAAATTCTCTGGTTTGGGACTAGTCAAGTGCCAAGAGTGCCAGACCAGGGAGGTTCAACCTGAATTAGGGAGGCAGTGTGGCCAAGTCTGTAGTGCACTCTGGTGACCTGGATTCTGTCCTGAGCTATTTTTAAGCTTCATAATACAAAAGTGGTATCAGCCAGCAGAGATTGCCATGGTTTGGCTTAAAGGCAATTCTAATATGAAGCTAGAGATTTTGACTTGTGCTCTAAGGGTACGGTCTGGGTCTGCGTGGTCCAGATGGTTAAAACTGGTTTGGTGGAGTCTTTCTTTAACAAGGAAAGCTGGATGGTGTGATTTACTCAGGGTGATTGGCTACAGCTACTCATGTGTGGTAAAGACTATCCTTGTTTATTAATTTACATTTGTGCATTGTTATTTATTAATGTTGCAGACTCTGTGCAATTAGTCACTCTGTTCGATTGCCTAGGTCAGAAAACAATTGGCAAATAAATCCTAAAAGGCACACACATGATCCAAAAATATTGATGTTTTTACTACTTCCCCTGATACTATTTATCCCCTCAGGTTCTCTGCTTCACATAGACACAAGTCTTTTGGTTGCAGTGATGTTAGCATCTTTACCTTCACAGCTTTTTCCACTGTGTTCCTTCTCAAATGTTGTTTTCCCCTTACAGTACAAGTCTACCTACTTGGTTTTTTTAGTTCCACGTCGTAGATTGGTAGTGAGAATTAGGAATCTTACCACCTATAATCCTTAGTCACATGAGCAGTCCCATTGATTGCAGTAAAGATTACTTGAATGAATAAGGATTGCAAGATAAGACTCTTAACCAGGACTCAATTCTGTACACTGCTGTGACCTTCCTGTGAGAAGCTGAGCACTGACAACTCTCATCATCTTAAATGGGTGGTAAGGGTGCACAGGAGTTTGCAGGATTGAGCCCGAGCTCTATGTGCTAAGGTTATTCCTGATATAAGCTGCTGCACTCTGGCTGGCTCAGAATAAGTGACCAGTATTTATATCTCCTTAACTAACAGACGTGAGTGGCAGATTATCCCCATCCATAAAGCTAATTAAAGCTTCTGTCCATAGCTTTGTTGTGAGCACCATAGTTCCTATTTCTAATAATGGACAATATATTTCAGTACTTCTTACATGCCTTGATATTAACTCTTTGAGACCAAAAAGCTGCCTTAACAACATGCCTTTTTTTAGATTCCACTGTTCTCTGTTAGGTGTGAATGGCTGTAAGGAAAAAAAATTCTTTAACTCATAGTAGGGATTCAAATGTCGGGCTGTGGAACAGAGTTAAATATATTTTATTATTTTTCTAAAACACTTGATTGTTTTTAAGAAAGCAGTAAATATTAAAAACATGCAGTGAAGTGACATTACAATAATGGACATTGGCCAGAAAGGGCAAATAGAGCAAGAACATTAAAGACAAATATGGAGAAACAAAGTATATAACTGAAGAAGAAACAATGAATCTGAATTAATTTATTTTCTTTTCATATCAGACACACTTTGTAAATGTTTGGCATTCTTTCAGCATAAAAATGATCTGCAAAGTAGTGTTCATTCTTTTTAGTAATTAATTATTGTAGGTTTAAATGACATAACTCTAGCTATAATACACACAATGTTACACTGAGCAGTCCTATTCAATCTTGCAGCTAAACATTTTCACACTCCAGAAACATATAATGCTTTACACAATAGTCAGCTCTCCTAGCTACCCAAAATGTCATTGCTAAAATAATTGGCCTCTTGTCCTTCCTTCTTCCCCCATATGACTCTCTTACCAGGTTTTAAATAATTTCCTGTCTTCAAATTCAATATCATTTTCTTCACACTCAAGGCCCTACATAAACATATCCCTACCTACTGCTCTTTCTTATTGCCTTGCATTACCTCTCTCACTCCCTAAGTTCTTCAATATCCTCACTCTACTGCTGTGTTCATCTCCTTCTTCAACGTGTTTTTGCTCCTTGTATCATGTTGCTACTTGCCAGCTATATTTAGAACAGTCTGTGTCTGCTTATTTTCCAAATATTCTCTCTCCTGCCTTCTTTGAAGTCATTTTTAAAATCCATTTGTTTCTGAATACTTCCTATTTTGTTCTCCCCACCCGAAATCTGTTGATCTCTACACCCATTTTTGTTTTGTTGCATCTTATCTATGTTCTAATTTAAACTCTTCGTGGTACAGAGAGGATCTTGTCCTTCAATTTGTCAATGTGAAGCTTACAGATAACTCTAATGAAGGTCCAATCTTTTCATCAAATTATGTAGGCAGAGAGACTCCTATCTTGCTACCTTTCATATTTTATAAGACTCATTCCGCACTGCCTCTTACTCTAGGAATGCCCTTCCACTAAACCGTTCAACTGTTGACTGTCAGCTCAGTTTGATTACTCCTTAATATGCATTTCTGTAGTATAACCTGTAAAAAGAATTTTTTATGTTAAACACACAACCTCACAAACATAAGAAAAAACACATGAACTGCCATGACATGTGTGCCTCAGTTAAGTATTTTTTTATCTCCTGCTTCTACTGATCTATATTTTATTCTCACTTTATTCTCAGGAAGAGACGAGACTTGTCTTTCTTTAAAATATCTTCAGTAGAGTGCCTAGAAGACAAAGCTTCTGTCGACAAAGAGCGTCTACACTACATTCAGTTCTGTCAACAAAGCAAGCTGCTTTGTCGACATGGCAGTGTAGACGCAAGGACAGTTTACATGCAATAACACTTTCTGTCGACAGAACTCTGTCAACAGAAGGCGTTATGCCTCGTAAAATGAGGTTTACTAGCGTCGACAAAACTGCTGAGTTCTGTCGACGTTATGTCGACAGAACTCAGCGGTAGTGTAGACGCAGGTATAGTTTTGTCGACAAAAGCCCACTTTTGTCGACAAAACTCTGTAGTCTAGACACACCCTGAGAATTAGAAGTAATTTAAATACAGACAAAATTTAAAATTATACCTGGGCTATCAACGGGGGCTGTTGAAAGAAAATGGAATTTACCCCTCCCCCTTTTCTTTTAAGGAAGGAAAGAGAAATCCTAGGACTCTGAAGGTATATCTATCTACACAGCAGCATTATTTCAGAATAACTGATGTTATTCTGAAATAATTTGGTGTTTGTCTTCACTACAAGCCTTTATTTTGAAATAATGTCGAGCTGGAGGACTTCTTACTCCAACTCATGGTAACCTTCATTTCACAAGGAGTAAGGGAAGTTGAAGGAAGAGTATTCTTCCTTTGATTTCCTGCTGTGTAGACAACACCAAAAGCCAGATTAAGCTATTTCGATTTAAGATATGCAAATGACATAGCTGAAGTTGCATAGCTTAATTCAACTTTATCTCTGCTGTATAGATATACCCATACTGTCAACCAGACATGACTCTGCACATCCCAAGTGCTTTAATGACAATGAGGCTGTTCTGTAAAATGGACCACAGACCCAAAACACATTGTGACCTCCTGAGTGTAGTTACTAATATTATAGGTAAAGGATTGTTTGACTTGTTTTATATCTGGTTGGTTTGGTTCAGTTGGTTACTCACTAAAAGCTGCTTTCTATTTGACCTCCAAACTCTCTGTGTCTATTGTAACCTGGCACTTAGTAAATGTTCATTTTATTTTTTCCTCCAATCATAACATACATACTATTAATCTTAAATCTTTTCTTGATTACACTTACAATTCACAAGTCCCACAGAAAAAAATCTTTGACATGGTTGCAATACTGTCAGTGACAATATTTCTTTGGATGAGAGTCAGGTTGACATTTAGCAAAGATTATTGTGACTATGGAATACACACAAATAACACTGATTCTAAGGGGAAAAGAAGACCAAACAATTTTAGATAAAATGAAAGTTAAAACTCCATCCTGGTAGCTTGCAGCACTACAGTGCCCCGTCCTCAACGCTCTCATTCCCTAAGGCAGAGGGGCTATTACCTTGTGCAGCATCGTCTGCCCATGCAACAGCACGGATATGAATTGGGGTCACTCTCTGGAGTGTATCTGTATGGGATAGGATTCATGAGTGATGATTATGATAGACAGGAGAGGTGTTAAATATTAAAGAGGCCTGCCTGAATTGACTTAGTTCAGGATAGATATGTTAGAAAACACCTGTTTCTTGGTTAAATTGTTTTTATTGGGATTGTTGATAGAGTACCTATCTTCTTGTACAGGAGTAGGGAAACATTCTCTAAAGAGGTAAAATACGCAGAGGGAAGAGTCGACATAACCATTTTTAGTTAACTATCATATAGTGCACAGTTGGTAAATTAGCAGTTACCGACTTGCAGTGCAACAGGCACTGCTGGTTAAGACATCACAACTCTCTGTTCTACCTGTATCATTCCTTATAGCCACCAGTACAGTTGCTCCTTGAATTCTATCCTATGCAGGTATATATCCTTCAGAAGAGTGCTCAAGTACTATTTCAGATGAGTGTAATATAAATAACTGGGCAGATAAAATATTTGTACATAGAATTTAAGTACTAAATAAAAAATCAGATTTAACACAAGGAACCAAAATCTATACTTTAAATATCAAATGTTATTTAGGAAACCTTCATTCACATTTAATTTACAGAATTAAATGACAAACTTCAATGTAACTCATGAAGTTACTCAAATTCCTTAAACTGAACTTTTTTTCTTGTTTTGAATTTTTATAGTATTTCTGTATTTTATAAAAAAAACAAACCAGATGATGTGAAAGAGTTACAACAATTATGTAGCTACAAAATCCACTTCTGACGTTAAGGCCAGTTATTTTGAAATAAAAAAGATGTTTATTGAAGCATCTGTCATATGAGCGAAGATTAATTTTTCTTAGCTGTTCACATTCTCCATGTGTTAATACAGAAGCCTCATGAGTAGTTTTGTTTTCTAAGACAATGGACGTGCTGGGTATCTTGTTGGAGTGAAATGTTTCCCTTTGCACTTTTCCCTTCCTGTACTCTTAGTCCTGCTTAGCAATAATAGTATAACTATAGACAGGCATCATTCCAATTACCAAAGGAAAAAGACACCCTTCTTGGCTAAAATAAAATAGGAAGAACAATAAACAACTCACCTGGGTAAAAACTTTATCAACTCTTCATCTCTTCTGGAACGTCTGGGTCAATGCAGTTAGTTACATTAAAAATAAAGAGAAGAGACAGAATTCTTCAGCGTGTTGGCCTGCTCTACTTCTTTTGATTTCTATTTCTGTCCCTTAAGCACAGAATCTGATTAGTATATTTAATTCCATGTAGCATCAGGAATGGTCCACCTTTAATCAGCCTCATTGGCCTCCACCTTTTTTCCTTCATATATTTTACAGATTGAAATATAATAATTAGAGATGTTCTTGTTACTAATCAAACTGTTAAGATACTTACATAGCAAATTCTCATACAAAATTCAATTTTGATAGTTATTTGCCAGGTTAAAATTTGCAGCTCAACAAAATTTGTAAACTGAAACTATGAACATTTTCCCCACAGGTTTATATCTGTACAATAATATATTTTAGTTATAAGACATATGCTTAAGGGAAGAGTCCTAGTACGCATCAAATATTTAATTGTATATACAAAAGTCACTTCTGAAGTCTCAGATAATATATGCTGTATTTTTAATGTGAGCTTATTGCTCAGTGTTTCTTCATATATATGTACTATTGCTTTGTTTTTTATTTTTGCACATCTCTAGCATATATGTATTAATGCATTATATGTTTTTAATGGAAAAATGTATTTTATACAGGATAAAAATGAGAAGTAATCAATGTAAAAGTGAATAGGAATGTATGCCCTCAAACAGCCCTCCTACTCTCACATTTCCATGTAATCACAAATGCTTTTCAGTTGCTTTAGTATGAAAGTGGGGGAGGAGGGACTGTGTTTTAAACAAGTGCCAAGGAGGTTTCTTTCATGTATTGAGCCTTAGAAATACATCCTTAATTGGATTAAAGCAAAAACAATAAAATAGCATTAGTAGTTCAATAGACAATATTTCTCTCTCTCCATCAGTACTGGTCCAATGCACTGGCATACTTCACAGGAATACTCCGCTGTGGTAAGTGTATTCTACTGACTGAGACATAACATTAAAATCGATCTAATCTTGGTCAAATTCCAATCTGAGTAATTATATTCTGTCTACTTTAATTCCCCATGCTACATTTCAGTTGCGTACATTCCCAATGTGCTGCAATGCAGCCTTTCATACAAGAGGTGGCAGCATTTCTGTTAGCTGATCCAAGTATATATTTGCCAATAACTATCTTTAAGAATTAAATGAATGTATATGTGGAGCAGATATTTTTCAAACTAAAATTCAGTTTTACTACCTTCAGATAATCAAATGATACCAACAACAAGAGATTTCATTTAAACTAAGTGGCAGCACAATATAAATGAAGTCATGGCAAACAGCTAGCTAAAATATTCTTTATTTTCCAAAATAACCTATCAGCATTATTGTTTCATTACAGGCATATCTGATATATTAAAGAGAGGGGATATAGTGTTTTTGACCTTCCTGAAAGGTACACCTTTGGGAAGAAAAAAAGGGATGTTCATTTACAAGTGGCAGGGAAGAGGGTCAGTTTCACATTTATATAATGTAACTGTTTAAAAAAATGAATGTCCTTATAGGCTACAAATAAAACCAGAGAGTAAATGATTATGAAAACATTATTTTATTTTTCACAATTTACCTTTCATTTTCTTTGGGGAAAGAAATACAAAAACAGTAAGTGACTAGGAAATAAGGGATCTTTCCGGCTCTTTTACAATAGCACATGGAGATTCAAATTTTTCATAGTGTGGTCTGTGTCATAAGAAAGAGAATGTATTGGGATGTCTGCCTATGAACTTCACATTCATTCTATCTCTATGACAACTAACATGAAAAATTATTAGCAGCAAAGGGGTATACATCCATATTTTTAGCTGCTTGTGATAAGTGATTTGTCTTTAAAATGTCTACATCTCCTCACTTTACCTCCCCCTCCCATATGTTCGAGTTTCTCCCCTTGTATATCTTTCCCCACTTTTAGTTATCATCCTCCCTCCTGCCCACGCTTACATACATCACTTAGTCCTCCTCTCTACTTCACATGCTGCCCACTATTCCTCTGCTTCCCTCAACATGATGCTACCTGATCATTTCTCTCCACTTTCCTCCATCCCGGGGATGTGCCTCAGGGTGCTCCTTCCCCAGACCTCAACATAGTCCAGCTCCCCACCTACTAGGGGAGGTGAGGTCATATCCCAGCTGTGGCTGGAATGACTTGGACCTGCTATGATCAAGGTATTCCTACCCCTGCTTGAACCCAGCTGCAGTGAGGCAGCCCTCCCGACCTGAACAGGACACCTATCCTGCAGCCTCAGCCCCAGAGTTGCTGTGGCAGAGAAGGGTGCTTCTTTTCCCCTCTCAGGTGCTGCTGTAAGAAGAGGGAGTCCCCCACTCCATCGCTGTGGAGCAGCTCCTGCATCCCAAACCCCTTATCTTCAGCCTCACCCCAGATCTCACTCCCCTAGCCAGAGCCATCACACCCATTCACCCCAAACATCTGCCCCAGTGCCGAGCCCCCTCCCATATGCCAAACCCAGTGGCTCCTCCCCTCATGAATTTTATGATGTGCACCAATATGAAGTAGACATGTCAATGTATAGACGACATGTTTAACCAATAAACCTAGACTTATCGCTTAATACTGTTGACTACACACATTCCTCCTTCCCCCTTGCTGCCTCTGCTACAGATCTGCCTACCTTCCCCCCCTGCCTGACCGCCTCTGATAGAGAAGCAGCAGCGCAGAGGGTGAAGGTGACAGTATGCGGGTTCCACTTGCTCCCTCCTAGAGGTGGTGGTGGTGGGGGAGGAGAGGTGGCCTAAAAGGTAGCAATGCGGTGGAGGGGACAGGGAAGGCTGCCGCAAAGCAATTTCTGTCTGCAGGGAGCTTGAACCCCTCTACAGACAGGGGCTGGTGCCTCCCGGCACAGCTGCCTCTGTATGAGAAGCAGCAGCGTGGGGCAGCAGGAGAGAGCTGGTCTGCTGCCCCGCTCCCAGGGGCTAACAAATAGTTGTATAACTGCTAAAATATGATACGGTTACATGACTATTCAATTACAAGCTATCTAACATCCCTAATATGAAAGTGGTGTGTCACACATCACTTCGATATTGGTGCCCTTATCAGAATTCATTCTGCAGATGGGAAAGATTAGAGGGAACATTTAGCTTGGGTAAGAGTTTTGCATGTTGATGTAGCGTAATCTTGTCTTTGTGCAAAACGGTTTAGAATGGCTATGCCACAAGCACCAATTTCTCCTACCCATCAGGCAGAGGTAATGGTGAAAATAAATGCTGTTTTCATGGACAGATCAATATAAAAGCATGTTGCCATGGGCTCCAAAAGTGGTCTGGTCAGGGTGCGATTTTGTAATGTGTGGGTAAAGGTTCTGGAGACCTTTCAGGAATCTCTTCATGAATAGATGAGTGAAAACAGAGTTGACAGCTATATTGGATTGTAATGAGAGGGCAATCAAGTGTACATGAATGGGATTGATAGCCCCAATCTTTTAAGGTGTAAAGCATAGTCGAAGATGAGTGGTAAAGAAGTGTTCATTGCTTTGATAAGGTCAGAACCTTGTCCATTTTTTATGTTAGTGCAGCAAGTTGTGACACATCTGTCATTCAAGAGGACATTTTTTATTGCCTCTAAACAGGTCACCTCTGAATCATGAAACCAGGGAGAATTCATGCCTCGCCTTCAGCTGTGGATTGGGATGGAGGATTTGACCCATATTCTGAGAGAAGCAGGGTGGACTTGGTTGCAGAGAGATCAGAGTACATAAATATATCAAAATTTTTGTGGCCATGCTGGAGCTATAAGGATGACCCAGACTCAATCCCCTTGCATCTTATGAAGCACTTGAAACAAGAGGGAAAAGGGGGCAAAGCAAAGAGTAGCAGAGCATCCCATGTGAAGAGGAACTCATCTTCCAGAGATATGAGGCTTTGACCTGCTTTTAGGCAGAACTGAGAACATTTGGTATTTTCTAGTGTGGCAAAAAGATTTGTGACTGGCAATCACCAGCAGTTGAATAGGTGGTGTAGGGTTTGTGTAACTAGCCCTGACTTCTGGTCTTGGGAGTATCTCCTGCTCAGTGGGTGTGCTTGGGTGTTCTGGTGTCCAGGTAGGTATGTAAGCTATAGGGCTGGAGCACCAGGGAAGTGAAGTGTCTCAATTGGTGGCCACATCAGTGAAGGTTGGAGGTTTTTGGAGGGTGATTTTTTTTTTTTTTTTGCTTCTCACTTGTGTAGTCTCCAACTGATTTTTCTGTGGGTCAGTAGCCCCCGACCCAAAAAAGTTTCCCCACTCCTGCCATAAATAAGACAATGTTGAAACCCGTTGCATTAGACATAAATTAATATTTTACTTTATTTAAAATGAAGTTTAGTAAACTAAGAATGAGAAAGTTAAATGCTTAATCTGTCCAATAATTTAAATTAATATTTCCTTTCTTACTGGTTAAATTAAATCATTCTCCCCAGCTGCAGCAATAGCAAAATGGCTTGGGTGTAATTATATAATTAACTTCAAGATTCCATTAGCAGCTGGTGATCTGCAGAAAGGTTTGCATCGAGCCAGGCGGGCCGTGGGCCATAGGCCAAAAAAGTTTGAGACCCTCTGCTGTATAGCCTTCCATTTTGAAAGAATTCTTAATTGTCATTAATTTACAATGAAGGCTCAAAATCTGAAACTGTACTATAAATTACTAACATTAAACAAACAACAATAAATTAATATTTTATTTTTCCAAAAGACTGTCATCTCTTCATTACTTTTACAATTGGTATATTTAAGTTAACTAACATTTTTGGTTATACTTTACTTGCATAAGCAGCATTCCTTAATCCCTGAAATTTTAAAACGCTATTTTGTATTTAGATGAAATGTTGTTTTAGTTACTGTCTTGTCTAATTTAATTTACTTGATTTCTGAGGTCTGTACACTAATTTACGCTGACTAAAGAAGCTAATCTGCGATGTCATTTGCTATCTACCAGTCAACAAGTCAGTGACTGCTTATAACAGTATTTTATTTTAAGACTAATATTAGATATAAAACACATTACACATATAGCCTCCATTGAATGTACTGCTAACATGCGATACCTGAAGCTAATAGATGTTCTAGCATTAAATGGTGACATAGCAATAAATTTTAGTAGCAAAGTGTCTTTTGGGATGTGGGAAAGTGACGAATGGCCAAAAGTGAGAGAAGTGTGGAAAAAAGGGAAAAAACAGACAAAATTGCAGGTAAACATAGGGGGAAGGAATCAGACACAAGCATAATCAGCAGAGTTATCACAACTTACACCATGGCTGACTTTAACCTAATGTCTCAAACAAAAAAAAAAAAAGCAGATCCAGATGAGGTCAGACAAGTGCTGGGAAATAAAAGGAGGTACAGTGAAGTGCAAAATCACCTATTACAAAAATTCCTGAAAAATAACAATTTAATGTTGACTTTTTTTGGTTTGGGGTAATCAGTGGGTCACTGGCGCACTCCAACACATTTCTGAAAGGAATCACTGAGTGCAGGTATGTATCAGGAGCCAAATGACAAACTCAAGAACAACTGTGGTCACACACCTTAGTAAATAACCAGTTATTTCTAATGTATTTACATTAGCAGTCACTGGAAACAGTAATTTAACACAAATAAATCAGTTCCTTGCATTTAAAGGTTAGCATTCATTCCAATCCAGTGTTTTATCAACTGGTGTGCAATAGCTTGACTCGGTGGCACAAGGAAAGAATGCTGGTTTCCTTTAATGAGAACGTCCACAACCTGCAATAGATACAGATTTTGTGTTGGTAAATTTATCTTATAAACACATGGAATGCAAATTTTATAAATATAGGAATTTCCAAACTGGAGCGATTTTGTGGTCCTCTCCATCTACATTATCATTTCTCTGATGGCCATTACCAGATGCTTCAGAGGTGCAAGAGATCAGTAGGAAGGTTTTTTAACCTGTCAAGTAGTAAGTGAATTATGCACTAAAGCCTGCAAACTCACTCTTGTAATACCTTCTAATGTAAGTGTATACACTTTCATTAACCATATACATGTTTAACCTTTTTGTGAAGCTGATTGCTAAGGCATGAATCACCAGATGGCACTGTTACACTAACCTAAAAGTCCTTTTTCTTTGTGTGTGAACAAGCTTTTAGTTTGAGAAGAAAATCTTGTTTATTTTTCTGATGCAGATTTTTGGGGATCTGTGGCAGACACCATTGGAATTGAATAGCTAATTAAATCGTAGCGGCAGAGTTGCTCCCTGAAAAGCAAGCATTAGTGTTTATAGTAGGGATCACCTTCATGCTATTTGTGATCATCTCTGTTCAAAACATGCATATACTGTTTAAAATAAACAAGTTGCTCTAAGAATATTCCTAAACTCCATGCTACTGATGTCTCTCTCAATGGGAAACTGACTTGCAAAGCTCCAGTATTTGAAATTTCTCTGCAGATAGGTGACACAGTTAAGATATTGGACTAACGGTCTCACAGGGCAATGTATTTATTAAAAAGCATTTCCTTTCATAAATTGTAAATGTTTTCTATTTTTATGAATATTGCCCCTGGTTCTGTATTATGAAATAGTGAAGAGGAGCTCCTGATTTAACTTTTCTACATCATTCATTATTTTATACTTCTACATGCCCTCTCTATTAGTGATATTAAGAAGCAGTTATTGGCTAATTGAGTAGTTGATAGAATTTTTATCGACTACTTGATTAGATAATAAGAGAAGGCAGCCCAGCTTGTACCGGGACCCACCCCCACTGCGGCTCTGCAGTTTAAATGTAGTAAGAGCCTGGCTGTCTGCCCGCCTGATCCTTGTACATTTAAACTGCAGAGCCGCAGTCGGGGTAGATCCCAGATGCAGTGCAAACCAGGCTTCCTGTCTGACTGGAGCAGCCCCTGTCCCTGGCCAGCTTGGGCCATGGCAGACAGGGGCTGCTTCTGGAACAGACTCCCCTGCCATCCCCTCCACACTGCTACCTCTGATAGAGGGAGGGAAGGAAGCGCAGGGACAGGGAAGGAAGCAGCACTATGGATATGGCGCTGGGGTGCAACAAAGAGGGGGGGGAAATGTGAGTAGCGGACTAACCAATAAGCCTACGTGCTTACATACCTACTCTCTACCATGTTCTCTTTTATTCCAACTTCTCCTCACAGCAAAGTCTTTTTATGCTTCCAATTATTTTCTCTGCTTCTCTTAGTACCACTTTTTTTTTCATTCCAGTTGAAGATATCTCTCTGATACATAGAGTGGCATTATAATTTTTTAAATTAATTTTCTATTTCATTATTTTTTCTACCAATGGGTGTGGGGTTGATCGTCAATGGAGACTGAAAAGATGTTTCCATTGAATTCTCTGCAACGATTACTGGGTCTTTGGTCAAATTTAATTTAAAACCCAGAAATGTGTACATCTAGTTAAAATTGTGTCTTCCAATGTGCATTACCTTCTCATTACAGTAAGATGCACAACAGAGGGATGTTAAAAGTTGGCTAAACAGATAACTGTGGAACTACTGAAAATTTCAGTAGCTATATTGTTACACACTTTATACTCTTCAGTATAAAGCTTAAATAAGTAGCAAAACCTCCTCTTCAGGAGCCAGGGCAGCAGCGGGCAGCCCTGCCTGCCTAGCTCCTGGGAAGGAGGCTTTGCTGCTCTGCTCCACCAACGCTGCCTCCCTGGGAGCCGGCTGAGTTTAACTGACACCATTAACCAATAAGCATCAGCTTATCAGTTAAACAGTTAGTCGGTTACTCTAACATCCATAGCACAAAGTACCCTCACTTCATGCTATGAACATATCTGCAGTATTTTAAAATTAGTTTTTGATAGATTCTTTCAAATTAAGGACAAGATATTGTCACAGAAGCGATGGATTCTGTGACTTTCAGAGACTTTCACTTGAGTCCTGTGCCCTGAGGTGGCCCTGGACTGTCAGCCCCTTCCAGGTAGTCAGGTGCCCCTATTATTTTTAATAGGCTTCTATGAATTTTTGCTTATTGCTCAAGACTTGTATCTAAGGCAGCAGCAAGGGAAGGGGTACACATGGGAAGCTGGCTTAAAAGCTGCTCCCCTCCTCTCCCAAACCCTAACCCTTCTCCCCTCCCCCGTGGAGATGGTGCTGGGAAAACCAGCTCCTGCTTTCCCTGCACTTGCTGTCTCTCTCTAAGAGCGGCAGCGGAGGGAAGCGACTAGTTGAGCCACTACTTGACTACGTGATAAGCATATACTTGAGCAGTCGACTAGTCACTTACATCCTTACTTCAGACAGTGAAAAATTACATAATAAAAACAGACCATAGATATGAGGAAGATGGAATTGAAAGCAATATGAAAGTAGAAAACAATGCACACATCTTTCCCCTTAACTTCTATTTTTAAGGTTTTACATGGAGTAATATGGCCTGGTGCCACTTTTACTGTCAGTGAATGAAGTTTTTGTTATTTATAGAACATCACAGACACACATTTGCTTTCAATATAGAAGACAAGGACCCCACCCCAAAGAACTTGCAGTTTAAAGTATATATAAATATATACATATATAATAATATAATGCTAACCAACAGAAAAGGTAGGAGAAGCAATTCAGCAACAACAAAATCCTCATGTATTTGTTTTATATTTGTTTAAAATTCCTTCAACAGAGTTTGTCATTAGTTTTTTAGTTTTACCCATTTAGACTATGATCCTGAAGTGTGCTGCACAGTAAACTGCAGATCAGGGGTTTACAACTGTATAAAAAATGCCAAAAAAATAACAAATCCTTTTCTGTCTCTCAAAAATAAAAAATATTTCTAATATTTTTAAAAAGAAAAAGCCTAAAAATGAATGCTGGTTAACATTTTGTATCTAGATGTATGAAAAATCTGAAGAAATAAATGGAAAGGAATTAGAATAACCAACAGATTCTTCCCCAAGAGAAGCACTGAATAATTAACCATGGCAAGAATGTGTTGTAATAGGCTTGCAGTTTGCACAGAATTACCATGCAGTCTTTTATGAGCCAACCTTTCACTGGCTGTGTGTAATTTACAATTACAAAAATAATCACTGTATGATGTAAGGCATATAAGCACTTATTCAACTTGCTGAAAAAGAGTGCATCCCTATTGTACACTAGAACAGATACAGTCACAGAACAATCAATAAGAGAAAGAAATTAAATTGAACTTTACCTGTTCTCTAGTGAACCAACGGGCATCCTCTATTTCATTCTTGTCAACTCTAATTTCTGTAGATATTGCAACAGCTAAGCAGCCAATCATTAAGGAGGAGGGCATTGGCCATGGTTGACAAGAGACATACTGAACATGACCAATTTTGACTCCACTCTCCTCCTCTACTTCTCTTCGAACAGCATCTTCTATTGTTTCCCCTAATCAAACAGGGCAAAGAACAAGCATCCGATGAAAATTCTCCCAGCAAGAATTATATTTTGTGCTTTGAAGTGACTCAAAAGAATTAAAACTGCCTTGAACATTTATCTACAGGGTTGCAGCTCCCAGATTAAGACACAGATCTGAAGTGTGAGAAGCCGAAGCACAATAAAAGAAAGGCGGGCACCAAAGCAACATTTTCAAAATGAATAAAAATAACATAAAAATTATAAAAATATCAGAATACCAATCATAATGTATATTTTCTATGTATAGGTACCATTACTCCTTGAAATTACTATGAGACATATATAGAAAATAACATACTTTACTTCAAATTAACTTTGAAACAAGTAATAATTTGCTAACAAGTAAATAATTTTGTTAGCTTTAACTTAAGATTTCCACTATGACTATAACAGTGTGAAAAGTTAGTTTAAAAATTAACTAACTCTTTCAAAATATGTCATTCAACAGTAAAAAGATGGTGGATATTCAACTACACTCACACCCATGCCTACATTACCCACTCATACACATTCTTCATCTCTTCAAGGAGTTCTCTTTGCACCTCATAACATATAAAGAAACAAAAATACCACACACTAAATTTCTCTCTCTCAAATTGTAATGCAGAACTTAACTCCACCTGCATGAACATTAATATTTATTCACTGTGGACTTATGTACAGTGCATGAGTTTATAATACATTATTTGTATAGTGAAAGCTTTGTTATCCATCACTCTTTTAATTGGAAAACTTTGTAAACCAGCACTGTCCCCACCACAATCCTGTTGCATCTTCAGGCGTGTGTGCCTGACTCTTGCCTGTCCAGCCAGCTGTTACGAGGCTTCTGACAGCAGCACTGTCAGCCAGTATCAGCAGCAGCTGCCTTCTTCCCTTCAGCCTGCCTCAAGCTGCTGGGAGTCGGATCTGCCAGTAGAGGGTGGGGACACAGCAATAAGCGTTGTTATCTGGCACATTCAATTAACCAGTAACACCTATTCTCCATGAGTGTCAGACAACAAAGCTTTCGGTGTACATGGGTAACGTTTGAGGCCAGTTAATTTTCTTACCTTCTCGCTCTTATTTTTGAAAATCTTGGTCTACAAACTTCAGAAGTCTAGTATCCTATATATTTCCCATATAAGAAGGAGTTTTGTTCAGCAAAAGGATGAGCTGCCAGGTATGACTAAAACATGAATAAATGTCACCTTTATTTTGTAAAAGCTCAAGTGCAAAGAAATACACCACCCTTCTGCCAAACGCAATGGTGATGAGTACCACTTGGTACAGTAATATAAAACTCAGGATTCTCTCTCTTATGTCTTGACAGTGCCTCTTGCTCCTTTTCTTCTGTGGATAATAACCAATTATTTTCTTCCTGCTTTGCTTTAGATATGCAAGTGCCATCTCCCCTGCCCGAATTAACATATTGTAACACAGATATTATGGTTACGTAACTCCTGATCTTTTTCTGAAATTCTATCATTAAAGGCTCCTTAAAGTAGATAACCTAGAAGTCAACATAGTGTCTTATCTGCAGCTATTTCCAAAATTTCCTTCTCTGAAGTTTAAATTGGATCTGCAGTTACTGGAATTTCTCTCATACAGATCTCAATATACTCTGCATCATCTGGGTTTTCTGTTCTGACTAGAAAGAGACTAGCTCATTAATGCAGAAGGTTGTGTTTAAACAACTGGGCATTTCACTGCCAGGTAAGAGGCAGTCCTTTCATAGTCATTTCATAATTAATAAAATGTTGGCTAACGTACATAGATAAAAGGGGAAGACAGGACAAGTGAGGGAAAAAAAATCTTAACTTTTTCAAATTCTTATTTTATCTGAACTGGTTCATTCAATCATACAACAGAAATCAGTCACACAGAGAATTTTTGGATCTAGCTATGCATTATGATTCCTTTAGTGAATAAAACAAATTAGTGTGTTTCATGAAATAATTTTTGCTCCTTTTCCACACAAAGGAATGTCACTACAACAAACTACATTTAAATTACACTTAAGGATAGTGACAAAAACCAAGCAATTCAATATTATGCCATAATCTCTGCTCCTAACATGTGCAGTCAAGCACCCTTCTTCTCCCCTGCTGTTCATTTGTACTAAAAACTTCACAGTAATGAATGAGTGGTTTATTTCTACTGAATTAGACAATAAAGGAGAAGTTTCAGCTGAAAGGGATGCCGACAAGCTGAAACTCTCAGGTGTGTAAAAATGTTGCACTCTTTATAATTATGTTATTACCTGAAACTATTATTGCTGAAAACAATAATTTAGGCCTTGATTCTGCAAACACTTTAGCACATGCTAAATTGTAAGCATGAGAAGTCCTGATTACTTGAATTTTAGTTTCTTCCTGGCCAAATATATTCTCAGAAATACCATCAGGGGAAAGGAAACAAATCCATAATAAGTAAGGTGGGTGGAATATTTATTATAAAACACATATAATAAATACTATGCACATTTACTTGACCTAATGTTGATCAAATTCCTGACATGCTTTTCAAAGTATAGTACTGTTTAAAATCAGGAAAATCCTTTTGATAAACTCCAGGCAATTTCAAGGGTAAGTTGGGACAGAAATACAAAATAGATTGTCACTAAAGCCATGAAGAAAATCTCACCAGGCTCTACAAATCCAGCAAGGCAGGTAAATAAGCCAGGAGGAAACCTCTTCTGCCTGCCTAAAAGGCACTGGTTCCCATCTGGATGAAGGACTTGCATTATCACTACAGGATCTGGAATGTACGTAAAAGAAATATATTAATATTTAACTTTTCGCAGGCTCAAAATATAGTAATAAATTGCAGACATATATAATCTTTTTTTAATATTCAGCGTATAAATACAGATATAGCACATTTAAGAGCTTAAAATTCCAATTCTGAAGATACCCCCAATAGGATGACCATATTTCCCTATGCTGAAAACATATTGAAATGAGGGATGTTAAATTTAGATTAACTGACTAACTGAATAGTTGATACAATTTGCATTGACTATTTGATTGGACTATAAGGGTACCTCTCCCAGGGCTGTTGTTATGCTTCAAAGACGAAAGCACTGTGGGAAGCATGGCCAGCGGGGGACTCAAGCAGTCCCCCAATGGCCCCGTGATCCACGCAGCATTTCAAAGTGGCAGCGCCACGTGGAGCCCGGGGTCAACTGCGGACTCTCCTGCTGATCCTGGGCTCCACACGGTGCTGTCACTTTGAAGTACCCTCTTTTCTTCCCCCCACTTTGCTGCCTCTTTCTAATAGAGGCAGCTACGGGTGAGAAAGTGACTAGTGTGTTAACTATTTCAGTTCATCTCATGCAAGTACTACAGTGCAATTGCTTTATTGTGAAATGTAAATGTATATTTTTTTACATAACTGCACTGAAAAACAAAACTTTAGAGCTTATAAGTCCACTCAGTCCTACTTCTTGTTCAGCCAACTGCTGAGATAATGCTCCCCACTTCTTATTTACAGTTGTCATCAGAAAGTGAGAACAGACATTTGCATGGGACTTTTGTAGCCAGCATTGCTTATTTGTGCACCAGATATGCTAAATATTCATATATCCCTTCTTGATTCAGCCATAGTTCCAGAGGACATGCTTCCATGCGGATGACTCTCGTTAAATGACTAAACTACTTGGGGACGAATTGTATGTCTATTGGCTCTGTTTATGGATTTAAATTGTAACAAGGAGGATTTAAGTTAGACATTAGGAAAATTTTCCTAATTGTAAGGGCAGTTAAGCACCGGAACAAATTACCTGAGGAGCTTGTGGAATCTCTGTTATTGGATGTTTTAAAGAACAAGTTAGACAAACAGCTATAGAGGATGGTGGTGGACTATTCAGAGGTGGGGAATATTTTCTGGTTGGATGCTACCCACCAACAGAATTAGTTGGGGGCCACACACAAGTGAGAAGCAAAAAACCAAAAACAAAGAAAGCCCCAAACCCTCATTAACCTAGCCCCTCAGAAGAAAACAAAACAAAACTCTTACAACAGACCTGGTTACCAAATGAGAAGAAACTCCCTCCCCCCCGCCACCACCACAAAACAAAACAAAACACACCCACAAAACAAGCCTAAATAGATACCTATCACTCACTCTTGACTCAGGACACTGAAGCTCCTCTCGCGTGCTGGCTTGGACCTTTCCCCAGCAGCGGGAAGAGCCAGTACTTGTGTTCCAGATCCATGGGCAGACTTGCTATAGGACTGGATCACAAGTGCTGGCTCACCCAGCTGCAGGGGGAGGCCCCAAGGAGTGAATCAAAGAAAGCAGGGGGCCGGATCCAACCCGTGGGCCCTGGGTTCCTCACCTCTGATCTGGATAATACTTAAGCCTGCCTCAGTGCAGGGTACTGGCCTAGATGGCCTATCAAGGTCCTTTCCAATCCTACGTTTCTGATTCTACGATACAAGACAATTATTTATTTTTATGATATTCTTACCAATTCTTGGGTATGATGTATTGTGAACACCTTGGAGGCTAGGACAATCTTCTTTTAAACAAGTCTTTTTGTAGCCTCCTTCTTCAATCTTGGTTGAGCTGCCACATGTTGGGCAGAATTGGTATCGGTTATGCCATGCTAGCACAGATCTGGCCTGGGCTACTATGCCTTTAAAATAATGTATCAAAATGATAGAGTCACATAAAATCAAACTACAAATCTTTTAAAATATATAGCATAAGAATATTCTTGTAATTCAACAGGAAAATCAAACTAATAGCACAACTCAAAATGTTCTCTTGATAATCTCATATTATTCCAATTCCCCTATATGTTTTCCCTTTGTAATTATGTTAACTTGAGGCCTGCATTGTTCTGAATCCTGTGCAGTTAATTACACGAGTGCAGGATATAACAGCTTAACGATAATTGTAACTGTGTTCTGCCTTCTGTGGTCCCTAGATGGCACCAACATTAGGTTTCCAGCCACCAGCTGGGGGAAGATCCACATCTCTCTCCCTCCAGATGGAAGATTAAGGCTGCACAGCTCCCTGATTTACACTGCAATATCCTAAGAAGCTGTTTTGACTAAAGGCCAACACTTGTGCTTTGCTTTCTCTTCAAGTGGCTATGAACAATGTTATTACTAACAGCTATAAGAGATTTTTCTAGGCACGTGCATTTATTCTTAAGATAAAAGTATTAGAGAAAGAACATAAAGAAAACATTATACAACAGTCTTATGGGGCCCTACTAGTCCAGACATTCCAATCCTTGGTTGGGGCCCAACATGGATATATGGTCCTGTTGTTTGCTGGTTCAGAAAGATAGTCCTGAATCAATTTAAACTCAGTCTATTTATAGTAAAAGCTCTTTGTCGGCTGATTTCTGGAAAATCCAATCTGATCTACTACAGGCAGTCCCCGGATTACGTACAAGATAGGGACTGTAGGTTTGTTCTTAAGTTGAATTTGTATGTAAGTCGGAACTGGTACATATTGTAGGGGAAACTGTAGCCAAACATTTCTCCAGAGCTCAGTTTTATTCTCCCACACCTCACTTCCCTCAGTCCTTTATTCTCAAGCTGAGGTGTCTGCTGAGAAAAGCCGCTCCGCATCTCCCTGGTCTGCTGGGGGGGCGCTAGCTTCGTGTCTCCCTGGTCTGCTGGGGGGAAGCAGCTAGTGCACGGTTGCCTCACCCCGTTTGTAAGTAGGGATCCGATGTAAGTCGGATCCATGTAACCCGGGGACTGCCTGTATATGAAAAATCTTCCCAGGGATAGCACTTCTCTGGGGATATTTATAATTAAGTAATTTACCTTAATCATCCCCTACTGTTTTTAGTTCCTGATGAAGCAGTAGTAACCCTCCCCACATAGAAGTAAATAAACTCCTGGGGCCACAGTGTTATATAAACCATTCATAAACTTAAACACAATATATTCCCCACAGATATTGCATACACTTGGAATATTATTGCCTGGTTTTGCACACATTATTATCTTTCACCTGTGTAGGCAAATTTTTGTACAAGCAGTGGCAGCTAGTGACAAAGTCTGGTCATGGATCTATATATATCCCTGGAAAAAACACAATTTGCCTGTATTACAGCAGCTCCCCAAGTGGCGAACGGTCGAGTTACAACCGTTTGCACTTACGACCAAAGCTCCCATGGAGCGGTCATAAAGGTGGTCCCCGAGTTACAAACGTGACCCGCGCTTACAAACAGTGCAGTTGTGTGTAACTCAGTGGGGTCCAAGTTACGAATGGATCGAGCTACGGCCAAGTGTTTGGTCCGTAACTCATTCGTAACTCGGGGAGAGGCTGTAGTTGGCCAGCTTTCTTTTCTTTTTAAAATTGAAATTTCTATAAAAAACTTTGCACCTTTTATTTGAGGATCTCAACACGTACTACAAACAATTAAACAAAAAAAAACTCTCTTGTGTGAAAAACATATATTATTACAGATTATTATAGGCATACAAACTGGGCAAGGATTTGCTGAAGATCAAGCAACTAAACAGTAGGATAGGAGCAAAAATAGGCACCAACAGCGGAGTCCTTCCATGGACTTGATCCCACACTTTCCTGTCTGGATAGTTGCTAAAAGTTATATTTTGGACACCTTACCAGCTTCTCTTTCAGGCAACTGCAGCAATGCAGGCATCGGAGGATGAAGAAAATAACAGTCTTCATGTTTCTGTTTAAACTGTTCAGCAAAGGTGGCATCTATGCTAAGGGCAAACCAAGCAACCAGTCCATCATCTTCATCTTCCTTCAGAACTCTTCCATTCAGAGAAGCCAACTGAAGTTCTACTCCAAGAAATATCAAGGTGACTTCTTCAGTTTGACTCATGTATTCCTTTACATCCTTGTGGCACAGTCTGCAAAGCCTGACTTCAGGCTGCTGATAACTATCTTCACCACCACCCAAAGTGACCAAAGGGCTTAAATTTGAGAAAAGGATGTATATTGTAGCTGGATGATTTTGTTTTCTGTTTAACCATTTAGAATCTGTTCTTTTATCACTTCTTCTATCCAGAAGTGTCCTGCTAAAATAATTTTCATATTCTCTTACATAATTTGGCAGAAAAAAAGGCTTCTGCCCACCTTTAACATTTTCTAGTAAATTGGCTATATGCTTATACCCCCAAAATTTAGCAATATCCAGTGCAGTCTGGCTTGATTTATTGACAATGGACCTGTCACACCTATAAATAGAAAAGAAAAATGATGGTTACCATAGTGACTGTGATTCTGTAAAAGTCTTGCTGGACGACATTTTCATTGTAAGTCACATCCATATCACCACTTGGCTTTGGGGACCTTTAGGAAAGCAGTCCCAACTGAGGCCATGCATGTATTCTTTCACAGCACTGAACATTTAGAAATGTGATGATAAAATGACCATATGGTCCCAACACTTTCACTTCCTCTTGCTAAATACAAGTGCCAGGGTCTTAGATTCCAAGGCAAGAAGGGACTACTGTGATCATCTAGTTTGACTGTCTGTATAACAGACACAGAACTTCAATAATAATTCCTATAGTATAAGGAATTACTTTAAGAAAAACGTCCAAATATGATTTAAACATTGTCAGGATGAAGAATCCACCATGGCACGGTAAACTGTTTTAATGCTTTATTACCCTCATTGTTAAAAATGTATACCTTATTTCCAGTTTCAATTTGTCTAGCTCCTGAATTGTGTTACCCCTTTCTCTGCTAGATTAAAGAGCCCCTGTGAAATATTTATTCACCCTGTAGATACTTGCAGACAGTAATCAAGTCACCCTGTAACATTCTTTGTTAAGCTAAACTAACTGAGCTCTCTGAGTCTGTGAAGGCAGGTTTTTCTAATCCTTTACTTACACATCTCTGAAGCCTCTCTAATTTATCAACTACCTTCTTGAATTGGG